TCATAGTAACCGAGCTTCTACTTCTACTACTTCTTCTTCTTCTGCCTTTACTTTTCCTATTCTTTACTTTTTTTTCTTCTTGCCCCCTCGAATATCATGGTAAATCTAATGAATTCTTATAACTTTGTTCACTTTTCTCATACATATTTATTAAGATATAAGATAATAGAATCTAAATGTTATTAACTGTTTTAATGTTATTCAAATATTCAATACATAATGTGCGACAGACTATTATTGTGTTTTATTATAACGATATGTAAATAATAATAAATAAATTTTTGTAATCGATTTATCGAAATGATATTATATCAAACTATCAGCTTTTTAAACTTCGTAAATTAATTTTCATTCGTGTTTCTCGATATATTAATTATTCGAATCGAACATTAATGACAAAAATCCAATTGGTCGAGTTAATTTCTTCGATTATAATTGGTCTTATTCTTCGAAGAAAAAATCAGAACGATCGTAAAGAAATTTTCACTTAAAAAAAAAAGAAAAAAAAAGAAAGCAACGTTAGAATAATTAAGCGGTCGAGGTGGTTTTCGTAATTCGGTCCTCGTCCAGAACCATAGTAGTTTCTTTTTAATCCCAGCTAGAGTTATATGAGGAGTGAGAGGGGGAAGGGGGAGGGTAGGAAGTTAATGACCACTCGTGTAGGCGAAACACAGGAGGGAAGTTGTCCTTGGCTATTACACGAATTCGCTCGGAAGTCGGTACTTTAAAACTAGGCCAGCAATGCTTGCGTTGGTGAGAGAGTGTACATTAATTTACGATCTTACTATGTTATACCAAGTTCTACCTAACTTTACAGATACACGCGTCTTATCCTTTATACACTAATTTCTTCCCACCCTTAACTTTACAAAATGTCACTTAAAAGTTCTCATTGTTTGTTATTTCATTCGTTGCTTCATTAGACGTTCGTTCCTCTCATTTGAATGAAACTTTTCTAATATTAAGTTTGTATTGTAGGAAGAGAAAGAAAGATAGACAGAGATAGATAAATAAAATAAAAAAGAAATAAAGTGACGAGTTATAAAGCAAAAGGAAACAATAAAAAAAAAAAGAAGTGACGAAGACAATCATCGATAGAGCAGAGCAACCATTTCGATCCTTGGTGAACATTAGCTATCATCGATGCGGTTTTTAGGGACCTGCTTCTCATGGAAATCCCCGTGGTTTTACACTACTATATTCCATCGAACAATTTGACTCGATTCACCGACCACATTCACATACGCATTGACGTTTCGATCGATGTCCTGTTCTCTCTTCTCTTTTATTTTTTTTCCCTTTCCTCTTTTTATTTTTTTTTTTTCTATCCCTCTGTCATATACACATACACACATATATACATATTATATATATATTATACATATATACATATATTATATATATATATATATATAATATATATATATATTCGTTCTTCGACAAGCACAATCGTAAATTTAAATTCACGCGACACGATTCATACTCCTCGCATTTCTTCTCTCTCGCACTCATTTTAACACCGAAATACTATCACCTTTGAAAGGATAGGTGCGTTCCTATCACGAATCCAAGCGAATGGTTTACACGCTCGCTAATTTGCCCGTGAATTTTCTACGTCGAAAATATATATATATATATATATATATATATATGTATATATATATAATATATATATTATAGTAGGATACATTCTCTCTATTATTTCGAACGTAACGAAATTCAATATTCGATAGTCATGATTAAAAAGCTAATTTTCATACGCGCGAGATAAAAATACGTATCTTCCTATCTCTTATCAATAATATTGCTTTTACTATGGTCATAAAAGTAACGAAATTATTATTTCACTTATCGATACGCGAATTTTTTTGCAAAGAGAAAATTATTCACGATAGAAGAAGGGTGATCAATTAAAAAGTAATTATTTTCTTTCGTTTTTCTTTGAAAAAAATCGATTATAATATTTACATACGAAACGATAGTCGATAAATTTAATAGTCAAAAAATCAATTAGACGAATAATTTCATTAAATATCAATCATTAAAAATTAAATAAACACATTGCATTTCGTATATTTTTAACTTTGGTTGTAAAAGAAATAGCTTATTAAAATAATATGCACGAGTTGACATCTGTAACGGTATTAGTTAATGATAAAGTACATTTTCGCGTAGCAAGTAAATGCGATGTCATCATCATCATCATCACACGTTCAACGATTCATCTTTATTAATTGCAAATTAACTTTTGCGCGAATGTCACCCAGTATATATATATATATATATATATATACATCCATACATTTATTCTATCGCAAAAATTCATTCTCCTAATGTAAGCGTACAATTTCGACAGATATTTTGTTTTTATTATATACAATTTTAATAAAATTCTCAACACGACGATGGCGTATTAGAATCGGTCTGACAATGAAATAAAAGAAAAAAAAAGAAAATTAGGTTATTTAATCCTTGTGACGAGGATAATGCAAAAGAAAGAAGAATCTTGAAGTCACGTCGAAAGGGCTCAAAAGAGGATAACGGTATTAGCTAGCAAAAGTAACCACTGCCAGTATCCACTGGTAGTAACAACAATAAAAGATGCAGATTTCGTAGCGAACGCGAGACGAGAGTATGAGGGTAGTAAAATAAAAAAAAAGGATTAAAAAAGAAAAAAAAAGAAAAAGAAGAGACAAAGTAGAATCACGTATATAAAACAAGTTGGAGAGGACTGTGTGTAAAATCCTTCGCGGAAAAATCCTCTGCGTTTCGTTTTTAAGCCATGGGGGTGGCGGGGGAGGGGGGCGGAGAGGTACTTCCCCCTTTTCTTATATTCCGTACGCGTGCGAAGGATATAAGATAGAACTGCTGGTCTCTCTTCAAGAAGAAACGTCTGTTTGAACGACGAAAGACGAGCGTACGAGATTTTAGAACAACGTTTTTTGTTTTTTCTTTTTTTATACCCAAAAGGTAGGAAAATTCGTCATCGAACAAAATACGACCAATCCAATAACAATTTACAATTATCATTTAGTAATAATCGCGAAGATTTGATATTTCTTTCTTATTCTTCTTCATTTTAATTCTGTTCTTATCGTTCAACGTGAGAAAAATTCTAATCACGCTAGGGAATCGTTATTTTAACTTTTGTCCCCTTCGTATAATTAGATTTCTTTTTCCTTTTCTTTCTTTTTTCTTGAAAAAAAAAAATTAGCAAACGTATTACGTGCTATTAAATATAACATCAAACGAACGCTTAGCAAAGATGTTCCACGTCTGGTTGGGTGGTGTCTATCAAATAAAACCTGTTATTTGTTTTTTTTCTTCTCTGGTGATAAATTACGTTTTCAACGGCAAAATCGTGGATCCGTCTCTTTTATTCTCTAAAGCAAATAACTCCTCAATTTACGATGTTTGTTATCACCTTCGATGGGAGAAGAGAAAATGCCGTGCACGAAAATCCCTGCTGAAAGTTTGGTAGCAGTTAGCATTAGCCATATATGTATTATATATACATATGTATATATATATATATAGATCTCTGTGTCTATGTGTGTCTAGATATATATACAATACTATCATATATATTATATACGTTGATCATTGTACGTAGAGAAAATAGTGCGAGCCTTGAAAACATATAAACCACCGTAAGGTACGTCGTCGAATGTCCAGCAAATCATTTCAACTACATGTGATTCCGATCACGTATCACGTATCGGTGGTAACTTACGCTTTAACTGGAATTAGGACGAGAGACTTTGTCGCTGACGAGAGTAAAACCTACGAGAGCGTTCCCTATTCCGTTGAAAAAGTTTTACGGATTTTAAAGCAACTCCACTGCTGATTACATCGCGGCCATTTACTCTTCTTCTAATTAAATCGTTCGTTCCTCTCTCTCTCTGTCTCTCTCTATCTACCATTGAAAACTCGACGAAAGCTTTTTATCGCTTCTTCTAACTAACTTCAATAGAATTTACGAGTACTATACACGTATGTGTATGTATTACCTATATATATATATGATTTTGTTAGATCGACAACTAAGACGATAACTAATAAAATAAGAAACAAAAAGGAAGGAAGAAACTTTGAAACCAACAATCACTTAATTTTATTCGTTCTACTTCGAACGACTCTAACAATAAGCTTGATCTTTCTTACGTGCTTTGAGAAACTAACTCGTAAACTATTTTATGACATTCGTATCTTCTTGCGTCCATGTGTTTTGTGTCTCTTTAAAACTTCTATAACTAAAAATTATATTTTGCTTCTTGACTTACCTTTTAAAATCAACAAGGGGTTAGATATACATATATATATATATATATAATAATAAAAAATTTTAACGAGAGATCAAAGTTTTCTATCGTAAACGAAAACGGGATCGTCATTTCTGATACTTTTAATTGATCAAATATAAAACGAGATTGAAATATGTTATTCTATTAAATAAACATTGAACGAACCTTCTCGTTTCTTCGTTAGATACTTTTACAATTTCGTTAATAAAGACGGAAGTTAGTTTTTCTTTGCTTTATCGATTTACGAACGAGAGAGTATATGAATATAAAACTCCCGTGATTCGAAATATTTCGAGGAAATTGATTGGAAATATTAATAATATAAATCTAATCATTTTTTTCTTTTTTTACCCTCTCTTTCTCTTTTTTATTTTTTTTTTTGTCTTTTAATTAATCAAACGATTTCTCGCATAGATTAAAAGCGTAGACGACTAGAGAAAGCTGGAAAGAAGCTTCAAGATTGATCGACTTTCAAGTAGAATCTATCTTATCCGAGTTAGGGTTCGATTACACTGTCCAAAGTTAAATCACTTTTCTCTCGATGTTGTATAATGAGCTTTAAAATGTCCTTTTTGAATAGTATCTCGCACGATGACGTAAAGACGATCGAATCAAACGTTTTTATTACGTTCTTTTTATAAGAAAAAAATTTTCCGTGGATAATTGCAATAGCATTTTAGGACAATTTGATTACAGGTCGAAATGAAAGGAATTTCCGGTCCTATAGAATTTAAAGAAGGGCGCAGAATTCAATTTAAATTGGACTTACTAAAGTTGAAGCAGCATTCCTTGGTTAAGGTACGAATATAATATTATGAATAATACCTTTTACAGAGAATACATCAAATCTTTTTATAAACGAAAATGCATTTTTCTTTCCGTGCGATGAATATTTTACATATCAATGAAAACATCTCATAGACGTGATATAAATATCTTAACTTTCTATCGAATTATCTATAACAAAAAAAAAAGAAATATATATATATAAAAAATCATATATAACATACTCTTGTAAGTGATATTATTATATGTGAATATTAAATTGTGGTAACAGGTAGGAGAATGGCGTCCTGGAGTTGGGGTCAACGTCACGGATACCGCAGCATTCTACGAAGCAAGTTCAGCCAATGTAACACTGATAGTTATCACAATATTGGTAAGTTATCGTAGTTGATTAGTATTGTATATTTACACAATTAATTATAAATAATTTATTTATAATATAATACGAGATAACTCTCTCTCTGAAATAGTTTGTTTTTTTTTTTCTTTTTGGTAACATTTTTATTATCCATACAGATTTTTCAAATAGATATTCGTAGGTCGCGCTCGAAACGAGAGGTAAAATATCAAACAACAAAGAACGGAATTTTGTTTGATTTCTTCGCGATGACGGAGAAAAATATTTTCAATTCTTATTTTATCTCCGCTTACTCCCCCTCCCCTCCCCAACCCCCATGGAAAATGTTCGATTGTATATTTTCTCCTCGTCGTCGTACACGTAGAAGAGAAAAAAAAAATAAATAAAAAAAAATAAATAAAAAAAAATAATAGGGCTTTGCGAAAAGGGTTTCATTCCTATGATCGAATATCATCGAATTCTATATTTCTTGCATGAGAGTTTCATTCGTGGACAGGAAACACCGTATGTGATGATGCACTACGAAAAGAACTACACCGGGAATTCGCGGTTTTATGGTTTTTGCGTGGACCTGCTCGAGGCGGTGGCAAGAGAAGTCGGATTCTCGTATCGACTGGATTTGGTACCTGACAGGAAGTACGGTGCAAGAGATCCTGAAACAGGCGAATGGAACGGCATCGTCAGAGAACTCATGCAACATGTATGATTTGGTTTGTTTGATTTATTAGATTTATTCGATTCCAATCGAATTCATATATTTTGATTGCTCTTATCTCTTTTTAGATAATAATACCCTACCTCCCCCCCCCCATTTTTAAATTCGTTCAAAAGTTCTCTTCTCTTTTTTTTTTTTTTTAATCTCTTTTTGATCTCGTTGTATAGTTTTAGTAGTATTATATTTCACCTAACGAGTAGACATCGATATATTATACATCCCAACACGTTTTCCTCCCTTTACCACTCGATTTTATTGCACTTATAACTGCTGATTGATTGTTACCTCGTTTAATACGTATATATGCTCGTTTTATTGTTATCTCTCTCTCTCTTTCTATCTCTCTTTCTCTCTCTCTCTCTCACACACACACACGCACACACACACACACTCTTTGTATTCGTTTAATCGATTATGCTTGTATGCTGCTCTTTTTTCGATCTTTCCATTATACGTAAAAATCAAATAAATCAATCTCGAAACGGATAAAACTATGGAAAAACCTTCGAGAGAACGCGTAAGCCATTAATTTATAAAAATCGATTATTATATTTTTAAATTTCATTGATATATAAAGGTTTTAGTTAATTAATTTTTCATCGAGATATTTCATCTTTGCACAATATTAATATTTAATATTATAGATATTATTATTATTACGCTTTAGATTTAAGATGCACATGTTGTCGTGTAGATATTATATATCTCTCTGTCCTAACCCTTACCAACCTCCTCCCCCTTTAAAACCCCATGAATTATGTATTCCGCTTGGCTATTCCTCATAGTTCTCAGGAACGTGCGAGAACGTCAAAACTTCGACGTGCATTTATATCGAAGTAACGCCATTTAAAAAGTCTTAATATTAAATTTCAACTCCTACGTAAAAGATATATTCGTTTTGCCAAGTTTAATTGCACTTTTTCTCTTTCTCTCTCTCTCTCTCTCTCTCTCTCTCTTTCTCTCTGTAGTTGATTTGATATCGTAAAAATAGTAAACTGGAACGAAGAGATAGAAGCTGTGGGGGACCTCTTAAATGTACATTTTTGACGGTGAGTTTGAAATAATTTATTTTACATTTATATTAGAATTAACGTTTATTCGTGCGATATATTACAATAAAAGAAATAACCACAATAATAATAATAATAATAATAATGATAATAAAAGTCTCGTCTCGATGTAAAATGTTATATGGTATATGTTGCTTAAAAATTAGTAATCTCTCGCTAGAGCTGCCATTGAAATAAATGCATCATCGTTCCGGCTTAATGTACAAAACTCGCCCGATAAAATGTACATAATCATCTGTTTTTGTTCTTTTTTTTTTCTACATATTTTCCTTTCTTCTACATTAATCGTAAAATGGTATAGAGAGTTGTTGGGAAGTTTCGGATAGGTGATGTTTAAGGGAGAACAAAAAACATAACATAATCTCTTAGATTGTACGCGTAAGGTATCTGTACGATGTCGACCATTATTGCAAACCAAGCTTCCTGTGTATGGACCTTTCCTCGCGTAACATTGACTCGTAACGATGGAGATATCACGTGAGAGAAAGTTAATATTATATATTATAAACTTATCGTTTAAGTAAATGCCAGGAAAGAGATAGATAGATAGGTAGGTAGGTAGGTAAGGTAGATAGGTGGAATAGATTGGGTAAATATATTCGAGAACCTTAAACTAATCGATGCGAGACAAGAGGATAAAAGTGTGTCTAAGTGGTCAGTGGTCAGAGTGAAGACGAACGAAAAAAAACACACAGAAAAAAAAGAAAATAAAAAAGGTTATTTACGTTTTCATTCACTATTAGCTTTCTTTCTCCTATTTTTCCTTTTTTTCTTTTGTTTTTTCTTTTAACTCTCTTAAAAATTTCATTTCTTTCCGATCAATAATATTCTTTGAAGTATTTATAACGTTAGGATCAACCAACTTCCCATTAATTAATTCACATGGAAATTCCAGTAAAACGAACTTCACGATATATCCGTGTGAATGAACACGAATATTATTCATTTATCATCTCGCGACGTTGGTTCTCGGTTGCTTATACATTCATGTATAACGTGTTCTTCTTAACTTCTCTGTCTTTCTATTTCTCTCTCTCTCTCTCCCCCTCCCCCTCTTTTACCACTGAACATAACGAGCTTTGTGGAATAGTAATCCATTTAAGTGGTCGATCGGCATCGCTATCGAAAGAAAGAGAGAGAGAAAAAGACAGCGTAACACTTCGACCAATCGATTCATTCTAATTTCTTTTCTATTCTATCCTATCTCTATCTTTAAACCCCCCCCTCTCTCGCCCGCCGTTCTTTTTTCTTAAAACCCGCGATCGAAACGACTCGTTGGAAAATAGAATAAGAATCGATGAAAGGAGGGGGAAGGAAGGGGGGGGGCGATAAAGGTGAGAAACCGAACGTAAGATAGGAGAAAGAAGAAGAATAAAAAAAAAAAAAAGGAAAGAAGGAAGGGTTCGAATGAAGATTGAAGAAAAGGGTGGATTGAGTTAAAAACCGAAGAAAAAGTGGTGGTTGTGGTGGTGGTAGCAGCTCCTTTTTATGGTCCCTTCCCCCACCCCATAGGAGCAGCCATACGTAATGGTGAGGAGCAGAGGGAATTTGAGTGAAAACGAGCGTTACGAGGGCTTCTGCATCGACCTGCTGAAGGAGATAGCACACATGGTGGGCTTCACCTACAGGATCGAGCTCGTGCCGGATGGCAAGTACGGCGTTTACGATTACGAGACCGGCGAATGGAACGGAATAGTTCGCCAACTGATGGACAAGGTGAGCTACCTCTACGTGCGTTTTCACTCCGAGGCGTAATTACTAATCGCAAGATGATTATCCGACCCCTGACCCCATCTGCCAACCCCCTTTGCCAACCTCGCTTCTACTAAAATCCCCCTTTTTATCCGTCCTTCTTTTTAAAACACTTTCACGATTCTCTCGATTCTTTTTACTATTTTTTTTTTTTTTTTAACAATAATCATTACGCGTAATTTCGTCGTAATAATTGATCACCAATAATAATAGATACGTGTTCGATAAATTTCTATTTTGCATTCTATCTATATTGCATTCTCTGACATTTTCTCAACTCTACATGCTAAATTTATAACTCGATGTAGTATTGCTACGCGTAGACAAAAGAGTGTACTTTAATTTAATATAAGTTTCATTAAAATCTATTGACTTTTAGTATATAAAAAATATTTACTAAAACTTTTCATAATAATGCCGAGGAATTACTAGGAATGACTGATTTCCGGCTTTGACGGTAACATATATATATATACATCACGTACTTAAAAATCTCGAAGTTGGCAAGGAAAACTAAACGTAAGAAAATATCGTAGAATATAAAAGAATATACCATCTTTTTGGCGTGATATAAAAAGACAAAGAAAGGTCTGCGTATATTCGTCGTTTGACTCAGCGATTTGACTACTCGTCCTCATATAAAGAGGTCTCCTTTATATTATATATATATATGTATATATGTTCCAAGTAAAATAGAAAAACTCAACGGTGAAGAATAAAAGAAAGAAAGGAAAGAATCAGCAGAGAATCTTTTGTGTTACGTTATCGAGTAAGCATCGAGAAAAGACAGGTATCTTTATATAGACATATCTAGTTTCTACAACGACAGAAGGTACGAGAAATAAATCTACCTAAACTGGGTATGGTGTGGTGGCACCGAGTGCTTCAACGGGCAAAAAGTATGTGCTTTTTCAAACGCTGAAAAAGCAGTTACACACATACATACGTACATAGGATAGATAGATAGATAGATAGATAGGTAGATACATACATACACGTAGAAAATTTCAAGTGCGTATGTTATACGTACTTTGTGAAACTCGCCTTCTCCGTACTTACCCTTTCTTACCTTTCTTTCCCTTTCTTTTTCTTTTTCGTTTGCTTTCAATCCATCTATTTTTCTTCCTCGTTTATTTCGTTTTATGTCTTTTCGCGTATTTTCCCCTTTTATGTTTTTCCTTTCATTCACTACACACCATTCCCCAACCCTCCCCCCTCTACTCCCAATTTACTACGCATCCCATCAATTTCTATTCATTGGGTTTTAATATATTTTACAGTGGTGGTTATCGACTTTCCATTTCTCTTTATTTTTATTATATCCAATACGGAGAGGCAAGGAGAATACTATTTTTCAACTATTAAATATTATTTATCGTCAAATAAAACGTCTATCGATCTATTCATTTCGTGCAATTCGTTATTTAATTGATCTAACATCTCTCTCTCTCTCTCTCTCTCTCTCTCTCTCTCGGATTTCATTGAATAATTATTTTTAATTTCCTTGTTTCCCCTTTTGCCTTCTTTATTTTCTTCTGATGAAACACAATGGATTATTAAAGTTTGAATCGATATAAAGATAAATAGAAGGTAGGTAGGAATAAATAAACGAGAACCCGGAGTATATCTTGGATCAACCTAAATAAAATTAAAATTAAACTTTTATCATGTAGAACAAAACCCTTCTTCCGTTATTCTGCTTTTAATCGTGACTACGTATGCACGTACACACACACGCATTTTATATCTAATTATATATTATACATTTATTTTGTTTCGTAAAACATTGTGTATAAATGTCGTCACTTTTATTTTCCCAATTAATATGAGATGTTTGGATGCATTACTAAATAGCAAGGTGCTATTGCTTCTTTAAATGATTTACCTAACTATTTTTTTTAAATATTATAATTTGTATATATGATGAGAGACAAAACAAATTTCACAATTTAACAATCCTAGGTTACGTAGGAACATTTGGATCCTGAGAACGATAAGAGGCGTGGCTAAAAAAAGGTTTGACAGGAAGTAGATAAAATTGTATAAAGCATGCACGTTTATTGAAAAAAAAAAAAAACAACGATATTAATTGAATTTATTTTCCCTGCAACATACATTTTTGCATGCATTTTTCGTATTCTTTCGTATTTGAATTAGACATAGTAGACCAATTCATAGACGTCGTTTGTTAGTTTTTATTAAATTAGTTTTATCAAAATAGATTAATGAAAAAGGAATAATAATTTGAAAACGAACCTATTTTAAAAAGGTACTCGTTAAATCTATTTTTGTTTTCTCTTTTCTTTTTTTTTCAGAAAGCTGATTTAGCAGTAGGATCAATGACGATTAATTACGCACGAGAGAGTGTCATTGACTTTACGAAACCCTTCATGAATCTTGGAATTTCCATTCTATTTAAGGTAAGAACGAAGTAAAAGCACGTGCTTTTATTTTATTTTTTTTTCTTTCAATTTGTAGTTTTTCATTTCATCTCTGAACGTCGAGTATGGTAGAGTTTATCTACTTGGAGCAAATAAACGATTACCTTTGTTTCACACGCCAGGAGAGAGTCGTATTTAAAGAAGGAAGGAACCAGTATAAACCACCCCTTTTAATCCTAGCTCAAGCTCGCCATTGGAAATTGCACCCCGCGGCTGAATCTCATATTTTTACTTCATCCGGATTTCCGCATTGTTGATCTCGCAAAACTTGATTTCTTTGCAAAACTTTTTCTCTCTCTTCCTTCATTCTTTTCCTTTTTTTATTCAAATACCATATACTTTCTAAACTGGCTGATCCTTCATCACTTTTATCTAAACGGAATATGTTTGTCTATATTTCTATATTTTCTTCCCCCTACGTTTATATTTATCTTCTTTTTTACTTCAATTCTTATTCATAAACGCAATTAATACCACTTGCATTTAAAATATTTCATATATGCATCGTATGCATCAAACAGTTATTCACTTGCTCTCTCAGCCCCCTAACCCCTCCCCCTTTTTTTCTATCTTTTTATTTCCATCTTGAATACGGGCTCAACCCGCATTCGAAGAATATTAATTGATGATCTCTTTTTTTGATTCTCTAAAAATGCATCGTCGTAGAACAAATACGATTCATGTTTTATCCTTTTTTTCTTCTTCTTCTTCTTTTTCTTTTTTTTTTTAGATGCAGAGAGAGGAGGGGGGGGTGATTTATTCACTTCCTTTCGCGAGTATTATTAAATAGAGATTTTCAAAATAATAAAGAAAGAGAAGATAGGACCGAGAGGAAGAGTATATTCGATGAAACTGGAAAAGAACTGCACACTCACACACACACATATATACACGCACAAAAATACGAATCGTGAACGCATCCGAGTCGAGGATATGAAACGCTTTGTTAAATCCTTAATGAATGAATGCCTTCTATCGAGTGCAACGGTGCATTCGCGAAGCTTCTCGATGCGACAGTAATATCGTGCGCACTAACATGAATTCGAGAACCGTATGCACACGTTTCGGTTATTCGCGATACACGTGTCGTCGGACTAATTAATGGTAGGCGCACACCTGATGGCGCATCGATGATTTAATATACGATCTTTGTTCTTTCCTATTGTTTCGTATTTTGCAAGCATTGACTGACCATTCAAAACATCGAATTCTCCAATTTTTTTTTATTCTATTTTTTTATTTTTTATTTTTATTTTTTCTATTTGCTATCTTCTATTCGTTCGATTTCTTTTCCTTCTCGTACTCGTCTCTAGGAATATATATATATATATAACAAGAACGCGTTTTGGGTACGCGCATCAGTTCCGAGCAATTGGAATCACTTTTGTTTCTAGGTTCGTTTCATTCTCTACTCCATCTCTTTCTTTCGTTTCTTTCCGTCTAACGGGAAATTCACTCGACCGTTCCGATAGAATTTACGAGAATTAGGTTCGCTCTTATTTCTTCTCCCACTCTCTATACACTCTGTACCCAATACCTCTATTCTTTTCTTTTTTGTTCCTATCCTTCTTCATTTTTTCTTTTTTTTTTTGGAAATTCTTTCAAAAGAACTAAATAAAATCTCTAGTAAAAAAAAAAAACCGAAATATTCATCGAAATATTTTCAATAAAACTTACGCGATATTTGAATTTGGTTTTATTTGAATTTTTATTTTCGCAATATATATATTATTTATAATCATTTTGATGAAAAATAATTAATTTTCCAAGTAACATCCAAGTAATTACAATTAATAGCCTTTCCTTAATTATCTAATCAAGTGTTGGACCACGACATTACCAACACGACATCTAATTAATGTTAGATGACTAATTAATTTTAATTAATGTTACTCAAGAGATGTGGTTACTCAAAGTGACCTTTAATCATTTCCCCTTTAACGTCGATTACCATTTTCAACGCGTCTCGTCTAATTTCCCTACGTGCTAGTCAAATATTTCCGAAATAATTTCTCTTACTCCAAAGTTTGTATTATAATTTTAAATATAAGTAAAAATTTTATTGTAGCGCCTTTTTTGTAAAAAAAAAAAAAAAAAGTTTCTTTTTAAAATCTCGATATTTTTCGTGCCTCTGTCTCTCTCTCTCTCTCTCTCTCTTTCTCTTTCTCTCTCTCTCTTGTTCGACTTAAATTTAGCTCCAACCATCTGGAAGGATTCCTCTTTCATTTTTCAACATTGTGTAGTACCTTTCCTTTTTCCATTAGAAGAAGAAACGAGTGGTAAATTTTGAATCAACCGATTCTATTTGCTCGCTGATGCGTCCACGAGAACCAAGCATCTGCTTTTACCCTGGACCTTCTAATATTTTAAGAGGTGGTACTGTGTTATTAGGTCACACTTAAAATACTTTCAAAGACGTATTAAGGTATATAGTATCGTCATCGAACATATTTGCTACCTCTTTGTTCTCGTTCCTGTTACTCATGAAACGTTAAATTGTTCCCCACCTTCCCCCTCGCTTTTATTTGCTTTGTCTCCTCTAATTATATCGTATAACGTAGAAATCGATAACAGAGAAGTCACATTTAACAAGGCAATTTACAATTCCCTTTTCTAGATTCGAAACAATTACATTTATTAATTAATATTATTATTATCAAAGATTTTTCATGAATTATATATATGTATGTATATGTAATAAGAAAATAATAATGGAAATCTATCTCCTTTGTGATATAGATCAAAGAAAATTAATCTGTTACGAGAATGCATAATTATCGAACTAAGGTATACGCTTTGATCACATTTACCTATTATCGTAGGTATAATCTATCTCGATGATGAACGACCTTTGTTCTGCAGTTTGCCAAAATTGAAAACTTAATATATCGTAATAATATTATTATTTACTTAGCTTCCATTTCTAATGAGCTTTCCTATATTTAGGATATATATGCATTTAAATTTCAACTGTAATATAATTGTTTGGTAGTCTGTTCGGTTAAATGTTTACACTCTATTTAATGAAATTCAATCTTTTTACCCGTTTTACGTTCAATTTACAAATTGTCTGTGTTGTTCTGTATTGATTTAACATAATATCAATTGAATATTACATTTTCTTCTAATTTTTGAACAATATTCAAGAAAACGTGATAAGATAACACAAAATAATCTTTTGTTCGTTCATTATAATATAAAAATAATGAATGTAAGTAATAAATTATTAAAATACAATGTTTCATGTTAAATAATAATTAACATTCGAAGAGAATACATATATATTATATTATTAAAAATGAATTAAACAAAACGAGACATTGTTTCTTTGTTTTTTTGTCCATTAACGCGCGTTTCGCATAATAACTTGAATTTTTCCGGGGAAGATATTTTTCTTTGTTCTAAATGGCTCGACAGGTGCCAACCAGCCATCCTGCGCGACTATTCTCGTTTATGAATCCATTGGCGATCGAGATTTGGTTGTACGTCTTAGCAGCCTACGTTTTGGTATCCGTGACGATGTTCGTCGTTGCAAGATTCAGCCCGTACGAGTGGAATCATCCTTATCCTTGTCACGTAGGCCCAGAAGTCATCGAAAATCAATTTTCTCTGTCGAACAGTTTTTGGTTCACAATTGGTACACTTATGCAACAAGGCAGCGATTTAAATCCAAAGGTACGACGAGATACTTCTTCTTTTATTCATTTTTTCTTTTTTTTTTTTTTATTATATTGTATACATTTAATCAAAAAAATAAAATATATTATTCGATAATTTATTTGATTGAATTTTCAATAGGCGACCAGCACGCGTATAGTCGGTGGTATATGGTGGTTCTTTACTTTAATAATCATCTCATCGTACACGGCTAATTTGGCGGCATTTTTAACCGTAGAAAGAATGATCACACCTATAGAAAATGCCGAAGATCTTGCAAGTCAGACTGACATCACTTATGGTACTCTAGACAGTGGTAGCACGATGACCTTTTTTAGGGTAACTTTTTTCATTACTTTTGTTTTTCAAGTTTACTTAATTAATTAACCAAAAGTTCGTGCGTTTTTTTTCTATATTAATATTTCATTTGTATATAGAGTAATTTTGATTGACTTCAAAAAATTGTATTATCTGAAACGACACAATAAACTCACGAACTTTTGGTTCACACTTTAATATAACGATAAAAATATAATAATAAAAGGGTTATTATTAATTTGATATTAAAAGGATTCGATGATCGAAACTTATAAGAAAATGTGGCGTTTTATGGAAAACCGGAAACCATCTGTATTCGTGCCAACTTACGAAGAAGGAATTCAACGAGTACTTCAAGGAGATTATGCATTCTTGATGGAGTCAACGATGTTGGATTACATCGTACAAAGGGATTGCAATCTCACGCAAATCGGTGGTCTTTTAGATAGCAAAGGTTACGGGATAGCTACACCTATGGGTAAAAATCACTGATCTTTTAGTTCTAACATAAGTGTCAAGTAGTTTCTAAAGAAAGATGATGCAGATATGATAGGAATAAATCTTCAGAAGTATTATATTATCGAAGTCACGTAATCTCGTAACACGTTTTATTCTAGGATCTCCTTGGCGGGACAAAATATCTCTGGCGATTTTGGAACTTCAAGAAAAGGGTGAAATTCAAATGTTATATGATAAATGGTGGAAGAGTCCTGGCGACACCTGCATGAGAACTGAAAAAGGAAAGGAAAGTAAAGCCAACGCTTTGGGAGTCGACAATATAGGTCAGTGAAGAAAATCTTCTCTACATTGTTCTTATCATTTTTTTTCTGCATCTGACATAGATCATTATTATTCTTTATATTTATCACAAATGCGTCATGCAAAAATATTTATTTCTTGCATTTTATATATATACAAAATGGTAAGGTAAAACGAAACAAAAGGGTTCGATATTTGAAGAATTTATGATACTCACCAAGACGAGTTAAAAAAGTGTCTAATTAATATAAGTCCTAAAATCAACCCCTTCAAATTTGTATTGTATTATATATATTCTAACATGAATGTTATAACGTTATATCAAATCATGTATTTCCAAGGAATACTCGATTATTTGAACTCATCGTTTTGGTCATCTATAGTCAATTATTGATAACCTTATTTTTGACACGTTAACACGAAACAAATTTCCCAATGGTACTTTTTCGATGTAGTCACGGTAGTGGTATCATACGAATTTTCTGTTCGTTCTTAGGTGGTGTTTTCGTGGTTTTACTTTGCGGATTGGCATTTGCCGTGCTGATAGCAATCTTCGAATTTTGTTACAACTCGAGAAGAAATGCACCAGCCGAACGAGTGAGTTTCATTCTCATTCATATACATGTGTGATCTATAATTAATTTTTGTTATCGAAAACTTTACGTACACCTTTGCTTTTTGTTTTTTTTTATTTAATCTATTATTTTCTATTTCTTTATTTAATTAATTATCAATCGTCCTAGATTTTCTCGTCGATTGGTATAGAAATACGTTGAATTGTTTTATTGATTTTCATATTGAAAAGCCGTTGATTTTCAGTAATCATTGATAAACAGACAGAACGTGTCATTATCGAATACTAAAAGAGGGACAATATTATATTAGTCGGGACTTCGGATACATTTGGTTTGCATGAAATTTTCTCGGTTTTGTGTTTCATCTCGACACCACGACACGACCGACACAACACTCTCTCTCTCTCTCGCTCTCTCTCTCTCAGCATGAACTCATCGTCCATTGAAGCATGTCGACCGATCTTCAGTGTTCTACGTTCCAAAATAGACGAAGGTCCGTTCAATAATAATAATTATTATAATAATAATATATAGTATCATAATTTTATCGGACGTATCGTGAGAAATATTATATAATTTTTTTCTTTTAATAAATTATAAAATATATTTTCGAACTTATTAACACTTTGCAGACAGTACAGATAATGAGATTCACATTCCAAGAAAGAACAAACGTTGGAAACGAAAAACCGTGATCTAACATCGGTGACAAATTTGATTTTTAACAAAAATGACTAATAAATCAATGTATCAATTTTATATTAACATAATGAAGATACTTCCAATCAATAACATTTCGTAAATTACCGAGTCGATTGACACACTCGTGTAATAATATTAAGATGAATTAAAAGTTCATGCGTTTTAGAGATAGTGCAATTTTTTGGAAGGCAAATAAAATGACTTTATATGCAAGTGAAATATTAATATTAAAAACACACGAACTTTTGGTTCTAACTTTGGTAAATAACTTACAATCAGATTTATCCATGACACGTGTAAAAATAGCGACCGTCTGGAAAGTGTTAAGAGACAAAAAAAAGGGTATAATAAAATAAACATAAAAATGGATAAATAATTCTAATTAAATAGAGAGGACCGATAGCTATGCCTACCTGTTCGGGGTCTCTACAAGGTATTTCTCAAACGGTACAACAACAACAGCAACAACAACAGCAACAACAACAACAACAAACGAATCAACAAAATCAACAACAAAATCAACAACAAGAATCGCTCTGTTCGGAAATGGCTCGAGAATTATGTCGTGCTTTGCGTTGTCACGCGTCCTCTCGACGACGGCGTGCATGCGAAAAATGTTCGACCCACGTAATCGGTTATCCACCGGATAATAACCCCACTGCCACCCCCATTAACGGGATGAGATCCCAGGTATATGTAGGACAATTTCTAATTTCACATCGATGTTTAGATTACAGATTAGTACTGTCAATCGCTTTTCCTGTTCTGTTCTGATGACAGTAGGACGACTATGACGATGACTATGACGATGACGATGACAAAGTATCGATTTTACGAAGATTAGAATATAAATGATTGATGAACCTAAACGACACACACACACACACATTTAATCCTGTGTTATTATTATTACTTTACAGAGAAGCAGCCTGGGTATGCCTACGGTCGAATTGCAACCAGCACACATACATGCGCATCATCACGCATCACCGCACGACTATGATGGCAATTAAGAGCTAAAACGCTCTGGAAATTATTGACGATCACAATAAATTAATCCGTTATCGGGTTAATATCAGAGGACGAGAAATATCAATATTTGATGATCCTATTTAAAAAAAAAAGAAAAAAAGAAAAGAAAAAGAAAAAACATCTTTTTGTGTCGTACTCGTTCTCTATTCTCGTGTGTCACAGTGTTATCGATCCACGATTCCTTATCTTTTCTTTTTTCTCTCTCTGTCTTTCTCATTTTTGTTTTTGCTATTTTTTTGTTTTTCTCTTGGAGAGAAGGGAGGGATTTAAAATACAACACCGCTGCACAATTCTTCTCGATAATATTTGCATTCGGTAAATCCGTCGACTTACGTACGTTACGTCTACCTCTTTTGTAATAATAATCAAATAATAATAATAATAATTAATAATCAATATTCTTGTCCCAACAGTATATTAATATATATGAGTTTCAAAGGGAAAATTGAAGACAGTTAATAAATTTTGATGAACAAATTTATTTGATCTTGTTGACGAATCAATTTTCCCTTTGAAACTCATATATATTAATAATAATAATACTAATAATAATAATAATCAATGAAATGAAAGCGCGTCAGTCCGTGTGTATGTATATATATAGTTTTTTTTTGCTTATTTTTATTTCTATTTTTGTTTGTTTTCCATAAATGTATGAACATCCTACCGACGTTGCATTCGCACACGAACGAAAGAACCAACGAACAAACGAACGAACTCGCTGACAATGAGACGAAAGAGAGATAAAAATGAATTATTAGTTGATTTAGAATTAATGTATGTGATTTTATTTATTTTAAAACGTAGTCCGGATAAATTATTTCCTTCTCGCTTCGCACAAATTGAAAAATATATACGGTGCACTAGAAAAAGCGAACGATAAATAAATAAATAAAGAAAAAAAGAAAGAAAGTATAAAAGGATCGTAGAGACAAAATTTTATTATTTATTACATAAGATAGATCAGAATGAATATTTATGATTTAGAAAATATTCTTTATATTCTCTCTGCAAATTCGTACGTATATATGTACACAACACCACCAACACCACAATGTTATTATCATTATTTTATCACCACCATTCACCACCAACACCACAACCATCACCACAACCACCACCGTTTCCAAAGTGTTCGTGAAAATTTTGCATTAAAAATATCTTGAAGATATCACATACAACTTTCTTCACCGTCTTGTAATATTTACATAATAATAATAATAATAATAATAATGATGATGATAATTTAAAAGAAAAAAAAAAAAAGGTTAAAAAAAGAAAACAAAAAGAAAAAAAAAGAAAATGCAAACGCGTACCCTCAGAACTATTTTGTGCACATGATGTGACGTTTCAATCATAATAAAAACCACCCCACGATTTTACGAGAAATAGGACAACGAAACAAAGGAAAAAAAACATACACACACACACACATACATATACACAATGGACAAATGGATTTATTTAGCGACGAGATAGAGTGGCACCCTGATCTCTTTCCTGTAAATATTTACCGGCCAGAATGAAACGAGAAAATAGACGACGCAAGTATTTTACTTAAGAAAAAGAATAAGAATAAGAAGAATAAAAAACGAGCGAGAGCAATGTTGGTTAGCGCTAAACCCAAGTACAAGTTAGACTTTTGGTGTCATATAACGTACTTATGTATTATAATAAACAAACTAGATGAATGAATAAAAATCTAAAATGATGATACAAATAAATATCATACTTTTTGGCGTTTCGTACTTCCCGTATAGAAAATTTATAAATAAACGTGAACGAATGGAGGAAGAAGGTAGAGATAATAACATTGTATTAATAATAACAACAACGTGAATGGGTGATATAAAAATCTACCCTTTTCTATTCCCACTCCAACCCCCCTCCCCAGAAAAAAAAGAGAAAAAGGAAATGTAAAAAGTCGTTGAATATTTGTGTGTTCATTTTTTTTTTATATAACATCATTTATTAAGGGATAAAATAAATGACAAATAACATATCACTTATATGAAACTATAACATTTCTTAGTATTCATTATTCATTATGATATAAAAGAAATCACATCACATACGACCCTTCGCGCACGGTTACACGATCGCTCGTACTCGAATCGTTTTCATACCTCGCATTTAACGTGTCGTTTATTCGTTTATTATTTTTCTCTTTTCTCCTGTTTAATTCCTTTTTTTTTGCATCTTTATGTTTTCATCAATACGTGTAATGCATTTTGTTTCTTCTTTTTTTTTTTCTTCCTTTCTTTGTATTTCGCGCGAAGAGAGCTGACAAATATAATAATAATTACAAATATTACGAAAACGAAACGAATAATAATAATACTAATAATCAAGCGACAGAACGGTTTGTAGTACAAATAGTAATAATAATAATAATAATAATAATAGTAATAATAGTAATAATAATAATAATAGTAATAATAATAATAATAATGACGAAGATGACGATGATGATAAAAATAATAAAAACTAGTATACGCCTGGGTCAATTGTAAAACGGCGAAAGCGAAAAAAGGGGGGGGGGGATAGATTATTATTATTATATCAGAGTTTTCTTGTCTTCTTTTTAATTTATTTCCTTTACTTTTGTTTTGTTTTGTTTTTGCTGCTCTAAACGAAGCTCATCATCCTTAACCCCATGATTAGATTAGGCGTGGACCGCATAGCTTAATCGAATCATAAGAGTTGAGATAACGTTTCGGAATCGAGCCTCTATTTGTTTTCCCTCGTTAAAATATATTTTTCATATATTATATAATATACAATTCGATATTAAACGAAAAATGAGTAGAGGGAAAGAGGATTGATTATAAAAAAAAAAATAAAATAAAATAAATAAATAAAAATATAAAAAAAAAAAAGAAAGAAACGACAAACTATCGTAGATCGAAATCGAATTAAAAAAGAAAAAAATGGAAAGAAGAAGAAATGAGTCGGGCAAGGGGGTGGAAATAATAATAGGACTAAAGGAAGTATTTATCGAAAGGATAACTAACTAACTAACTAACTAACTAACTAACTAACACTCTAGCGATCACTTTCAAATCGACGAAGGATTACAAAAAAAAAAAAAAGTCGTAATTTATTAAAAAAAAGAAAAATATTGAACGATGTTGAGAATGAATTATTTAAGCGAGAAATACGATATAAAAAGAATAGTAATTATACGATTCGAGCATGAGCGATCGCGACCAGACGATTTTCTCTAATATAATATAAATCGACTTATAATCTTAGAAGGGTCTAGTCAAATCACTTGAATTATCACACGATCATACTCGATACCGGTTGGAGCATTTACAATATTTTGCAAATATGCTTCCTCTCTTTCTTTACTATATTCCGACTCAAGGAGGCGGCATTCTTCAAAACACGATTATATTTTTTCTTACTTTCGTTTTCTTTTTTTTTTTTTTCTTTTTTACAATAAAAGATTTATAATTCAAGTACCAGATAGGGGGATGATAACGACGACAATAATGACGATGACAATGACGATGATTATTATCCCAAAATATTACAATTTCAAATTTGACGGATTCTATATCGCTTTTTTTTTTTTATTATTATTAACGGATCTCTCATCGTTGCAGATTTTTTTCTTTCTTTTTTGTTCTTTCTTTCCATTTATAAACGGTAACGTAACAAAAAAAAAAAAAGACAAGCGAAATGTGGATGGTAGGTACCCTCATCGACGAAAACTTTCTCGATGATTTTTCAATCTTAAGAATTAACCGCCTCCTCCTCCTCTCACTCCCCCTTCCTCTCCACTCACTCACTCTCACTCTCTTTTTCTCTCTTTATCTCCCTTTTTTCTTCTCGTTTTTGTTACTTAAAAAACGACGGATTCGTATTTCTCATCTTCACGAGTCTCTTACACATATATATTTATGTATATATAATATATATACATATATATATATATATTCACATATTCATAATTATTCTGTAATATTTTACTTCATTTTTTTCCGCCTTTTTAAATCATTCGCATCATCCTTTACCGTTCATTTTAATCTTTCGCTTTCTCGCTATTTCTCTATTTCTCTCGCTCTTTCTTTCGACATTATTTTTCTTTATTTATTTGTTTGTTTATTTGTTTGTATTATCTCCCCCAAATCTTTCACTCTCATCATCATCCACACGCACAACACGCATACCCTCTCATATCTCCCTCATGAGATCAATTCGCACTAAGCGAACAACATATTTCGTTCTTAGTTCGTACAACTTCTTTTTATTTGTTTCTTTTTTCTTTCGAATTTTCGCAACGAAACGAAAAGTTTTTGTTTCGCATTTTTACGAAAATTCGAAAATATACGCAAAAAAAAGAAAGTCTTCTTCTTCTATCTACTTCCCATTTTTTTACTCGTCGATCGCTTTTCTCTTTCGGTCTACAAAAAACAATCGAATATATCTATTTCGAATAATAATTTGAGAATATCGAAGTAGCATGATCGTTTAGAAAGAAAAAGTATACGAGAAATCAAAGTGAAGAGAGGTTCGAAAAGTGATATCATTTATATAATATAAAAAAATGAAAAAGAGAAAAGACAAATTAAACAAACAAAAAATATATATATACATGTTATATAGATATACTAAGACAGAAAGGAAATAGAATGTGGAGGGTTAAGGGGTGAAAAGCTCAGATAATAATTCTAAAAACGCGTGTTTTAAAAAATCACTAAATATTATATAGCTTAAATATAATCAATATTTAAGCGGCATTCAGTCGATTCTATAAAAATTTGATTATCACAAAACATTACGAAAAATTTCGAAAGGGAAAATTCTTTTATTTATTTTTTAACATTTATCGAGCATGTTTTCGAATCGATTTCTCTTTGTGAAAATAATAAAACGATTTAAAGAAAAAAGAAAAAAAAGATAAAATAAATAAATAAAAAGGAAGAAACATTACTAATGGACAATTAAAGAAGAAGAAGAAGAAGAAGAAGTAGGAGGAGGAGGAGAAGAAGAAGAATAAGAAGAAAAAGAAGAAGAAGAAGAAAAAAGAAATTATTTGTCAACGTTTAATTAAAACGCGAAAGATTAGACGAATCAAACGAAAAAAAAAATATGTAATTGTTAAATGAAAATACTGGGAGCGTATGTATATATATAATAGTTGACCATCGTCCAAATCTTTCGAGATCTACTAATTAATAATCGCCAAAGTTTTACTAAAATATTTGTATTACGAACTGCTTGCCGATAATATTCAAATAACTCTCTAAATAATCGTTGAACGAATAATAATCTTTGGAAAAATTATTAGGCAAGTTATTAACAAATTAACAAATACGATCGTATTTTACGTTGAAACGTTCTAGAGTATGATATTAAAAGAAAAAGAAAAAAAAAACCAACAAATTACAAATATTAAATAAATAAATTAAATCAAACATGAGAATAATAATTAATAATAATGATCGAAGTCAATAATTTAAAACACATCGTTTAACCAAACGCGTTACGTATAATAAATAATTTTTCTTCGAATGAAAACGAAAACGAAAACGAAAATGAAAATGATACGGGCATTTAAATTGTTAAAAATGCACGCACGAGAACGAACACACGCGTAACGATATTTAAAAAAGTAAATGATTAAAAGGGTAATCCTCGATGTTCGGTGATAGAGAAAAATTAATATTCTAATTTATGGGGTTTGTCGTTTCAACGTAAAAAGAGACGGAACATACACACCACACGGAGGTGTGTTGATTCGATTTGAATATGTGCCGAGAGAGATAAGCATGAAGAAAACGATCGTGGTGTGTGATGATCGTCGTTAATTTCCGGGCGCGTATAAGCGCCAAGAGCGAGAGCCACGATCGAGGAATAACGTTACTTTTTTTTTTTTATTACTATTATTATTTCGAAAACTCTCCAAATGATATGTAGACGCCGTTTAAAATCGATTTTTAAACGGTATCGATGTTGGTCGAAAAGCTTTCACCGTTCTTTCTCTCTTTTTCTTTTTTTTTCTTCATTTTCTTTTCTTCTAAGTTTCGCCTCGTTTCGTCGATGTTTAAAACGAAAGAAAGCTGGACGATAAACTTTTTCAAAATATTTCCTATCTCTTTCTTTCTTTCTCTGTTTTCATCTATCTATCTTTCTTTCTTTCTGTCTTTCCTTTCTTTCTTTCCTTTCTCTTCTGTAGTGTATCGTTGACAAAAAATTATTTCAAAAATTGCACGAATGCGAAGACGATTGCGTGCTAAAAATACTATTAAAACTGTTCTTTAAAGTCTATTCTCGTATTTTTAAAATGACTAAAAACTATCATTATTGATTTTTGTTCGCGTGAAAAAATTTGCGATCCAGCGATCTATCGATCATCGATCCTATAAACGCGAAATTTGTATTATACGTTGCTCCAAATAATTTTATACGAGAGAATCTTAAGAAAACACTCTCTCGCGATTTAGAGCACGTAGATGATCATTACATTGTTAATATTATAAAGAGATGTTTGTTATATTATTACAAACGCTACATATTAATCTTCAAATATTATTCCTCTTGCACGTATAATACGGACAAATTATCTCTTTCCTATCGCGCACACTCTCTCTCTCTCTCTCTCTCTTACATTCGTTTCTTTCTCTCCCACTCTCTCATACTCTTACATTCTCTTACATTCTCTTTCTTTCTTTATTTCTTTCTTTCTATCTTTCCTCATTTTTATGTTAAACGTAAATAACGAGCGTGCGTATATACGTCTTTTCTCTTTGTGTTTGTTTTTTCTTGCATATTCTATATGTTTTTATTATGTATGTGTATTATCTGCGCTTTTCTGTAAATTTACGCATAATCGATAGTACGTACAAGGATAATAATAGTGTAATTCATGTGCGTGTAATGTAATGTATGTAATGCATGTTTGTATGTAAGTGTGTGTGTGTGTGTGTATTAATGTTTGTTATATAATATTTATATTCCATCACAGAACGTATATTTCGCGTGTATAGTTTGTGCCACGTTTTTTTTTTTTTTATTTTATTTTATTTTATTTCTTAATTCTTCGTGTATCATAGAACGACTTATGTGAATTTGATTTGTTAAAACAGCCTCTCCGTTCTCTCCTAACTTTCTTTTCTTCTTCTTCTTCTTCTTCTTTTTCTTTTATTATTATTTCCTCTCTTTCTTTTTTTTTTTTTTTGTTTAATTTCTCTCTCTTTCTCTTTCTCTCCCATTTCACCCCTAACGAACGTAGCGAGAGATATTAAATTTGCCGATTTTTAAAGGGTGATAAAAATTTCATCACGTTCGCATATTTCTCCCAATCACGACGCATGACAAATTATATTTTTAAAAAGATATCGAGATACTTCCCATTTTATACGAATTATCGAAATTGTTTTTTTTTTTTTATTTTCTCAAATGATTAAAACAAAAATTGTTATACTAACGTTTTAAAATTATTAAGATTTCCAATGGAAAGAAGGAGGGAGATATTAATCGATCAAAACGAAATAAAATTCGTAAAAGATGGGAATTATCTGTAAAGTTATTATTATTATTATTATTAGCGGATATCAATCGTAAAAAGGCATGACAAAATTTCGTTCAATTATAATTTTTTGTTTTTTCTTTTTGCTTTTACGTATTGGGTGTTTTCCCCCAAAGAGAAGTCCTTCTTCTTAATTTTTTTAACTACACAAAATTCCAGGCTCCTTTGAACTCGTTTCTTTTTATATTTTTAATCGTTATTCTTGCTAATTTTTTCTTCTTTACCACCGAGCCATGGAAAAGTAAATAATAGAAAACATTTTTACGACGAAACCTCTGACAAAATTTACTGCCGAAAGAAAATCAAAAGATCCCATACTTGTTTTTTTTCTTTAATAATAATAATAATAATAATAATTTTTTTTTTTGCAGCCTCCCACGCTAACTTTCATCTCTCTCTCTCTCGATCTCTCTCTTTATTGTATATATATATATATATATGTATATGTATATATATAGCTACTGTCATCTCTTATCGCTTATCGTGTTTCTACAATCGATTGGTCTGTTAAGTTTTCATGGTAAACACGTGTCTTGTTTGCGCGTGCTCGTATTACCCTTTTGTACCTTTTGATTCCTCTCTCTCTCCCCACCCCCTCATTACCCCTCTCCCTCCACCTTTACTATTTTTTTTTTCTTTACTTATACTATATACCGTCTTCCTGTTTATTTGTTTTCCTATTCAATTGTGGAATAAGTAATCGGACACGTTTTTATAATGCATTATGTTTGACTTAATTATAATTTGATTTTGTATGTAAAATTTATAGGCCGCAGGTAGGCATCAGTGCAGCTATCTGATTAACCTGCAGAAAGGAGAGTTTCTTCTACAGGGTGGTAAACCTTCGTGGCTTCAAGGTTTGAAATCGATACCACGAAAGCTTCAAGATCTTTACGAGATTAATAAGATCCTAGCTCACAGGCCGTGGCTTTTAAATAAAGAACACATAGAGGTAAGAGTTTTTTTTTTTTAATTTTTCATATAAATATTATTTTGTCTTTTTATTTTATTTATTTAAACTAGAGACGAAGTTTTTTCTTCAAGGGATTTGTTTGATTTTTTATTTTTTCCTATTTTGTTTCTTATTCTAGAAATTGACCAAAGGTGCGGACAATTGGTCATTGGCCGAGGTAGTCCACGCGATAGTACTTTTGGCACATTTTCATTCATTGTCATCGTTTGTATTCTCTTGTGGAATAAACGAAGAATTGGATAATGTAACGGGTCACCATTATAAAGAAAATATCCAGGACAATAGCAATAAAGTACCACCTGCCAAAGAAAAACTTTCTAGTAATTCCAAGGAAATTCCAAATGGCGAAGGCAAGACTGGTAAGAGTCATACAAACATTGATATATAATATATATGTTACCGTGAAAGAACAAAATTGGATAATGCCAAGATAATTCACATGGTGAATGTTGATAGATGCCAAATACGTTGATGAAAAACCGAAAATATTTAGATTTATTCTCTTATAAATTATTAATTAAAAGCGACCGTGTGAATTTTGACATTCTTCACTTTCAATATTTCATGGTAACATATGTATATATATATTTTTTTTAAAAGTTTACAAAGAATTCAAGAAAGATGATAAAATTTGTGTTTCCTTTTCTGGTGTTCTAGAAAACGTACCGTCGCCTCCATCGTCCCCTAGCATAGTTGGCGAACAAGAGGTCGGCGTTGAAACATTAATGGAACGAATGAAACGGCTTTCGGAAAAATCCGAATCTTATCAAATAACGCAAGAAGAATTATCGAAAAGATTTGAAACGGTCGAAACGCAATCAGCTGAATTGGCAGCTGCACCTCAAAGAAATAGCATGATACTTGACTCCGATATCGGCCTTTTCATTGAAGATCCTTCGTTTATATACCAAGATTTTGCTAAGGTATATAGAATTTTTCGTAATAACAATATGTCATACTTACTCTTCATCTCGTTATACTATCTTTTATTGATTTTACTCATCCCGGCCGACCCCTTACGTTTTAATAACGTATCACGCTTCGTCAAATTTCGTTAGCAAGTTATTTAACCATCCAAATGTCAAAAAAATATTCCAAGGTTGGTTACGATGAATACATCCATTTTTTTACCCCTATAATAACCACCTCCCCTTCCTCATCCCCCTATTGTTTTCTTTTTGTCTCGATGATGTGATCGTGCTGTTTTCCTTCCTAAACGATGAATATTTTAAAGACGATAAACGTTCACGTATCGCTTAATTTTGACGTTGAAGAAAATAAGGAGAAGAAGAAGAAGAAGAATAGGGATGATAAGTCAATAAAAAATGATTTCTTTCCTATCTTCTTTTAATAAGAAAATTCTATTCTTTTTTGTTTTGCCATTACAAATATTATATATTATCATATTGAAAATTATAAATATACAAAATGTTCTAATTATTACTTATTCTACGTGTGTTTTATGTAATATAACGGGTGTATGTTTTATTTAAAAAAAAAAAAGAAAGAAAAGAAGAGTAAAAAACAATAATCTTACGCGTATCTGAATTTAAACGTATGGATTCGTCATTTTACAAACCAAATAAGAAAATAAATTGTATTGAAATATCTGTGAGGCGGCGCCTATATCCTCCATTAAATCTTGTCTTCTCATTTATTTTTAGCGAGGTCAACTGAACGACATACCGACCTTCCGCGTGCAAGACTATTCCTGGGATGACCACGGTTACTCGTTGGTGAATCGGCTTTACAACGACGTCGGCAATTTTCTTGACGACAAGTTCAAGACGACTTATAATTTGACGTACTATACGATGGGTACGCACAGTAAAGTCGACACGTCTCGTTTTAGACGAGCAATATGGAATTACATACAATGTATGTTTGGTATAAGGCATGACGATTACGATTACAACGAGGTTAATCAATTACTCGAACGAAGTCTTAAAACATTTATCAAGAGTGCTGTTTGTTATCCGGAACGCGTTACTAAAAAGGATTATGATCGTGTCATGAGGGAGTTCAAGCACAGTGAAAAGGTATGCTAATATTTTGTTTTGTTTTTCATTTTATTCTTTTCCTTTTTTTACGGGTTCGAATCACCCTGTTTCTTTTTATTTTACCTTTTCTTTCTCTTTCTATTTTTTTTCTGGAGTATCAACGGAGGTACATGGTTTGTGTTTTGTTTTTTGTTTCCCCGGCGACGGGTTATCAAATCTATTTTTATTAAACGTGCCCACGTTGTTTGATTTTAATGATCAACCGGGAAAAACTAGTAATCCAACTTGTGGGTGGATTGTTCATTTTATTATATAAATTTTGTAACATTATTTTATTTTCTTTATATGTTAAATAACGTGATATTATTATACAGTGTACTTTTTTTATTTTATTTATATATTAAAATATATTATTTATTAACAACAAATATATATATATTAATAATCTAATAATTTTGATGACGAATTCCCCCCACGTATTTTACGTAAAACGCGATAACTTTTCGCATATTTTTCTTTTTTTCTATGATAAATTATATGAAAATCAATACATATCGAATTAATGATTTATTTATTTCGTTGTTCACAGGTGCACGTGAACTTGATGATATTGGAAGCGCGCATGCAAGCGGAATTATTGTATGCTTTACGCGCAGTTATGAGATATATGACCTAAACGAAATCCAATTCAGGTCCCTTCGTTCGCTTGGCTGGTCTTGTCCCTTCGATCGGCTCGTCCATTCGTTTATTTTTTTTTTTTTTTTTTATAAATTAATTAATTAATTATTATTATTAATATTAATATTATTATATTATTATTATTATTATTACTATTATTATTATTATTATTATTTTATACGTTTCGAGTCGCGTGTTGCTTTATAGCGAGGCTTTTTTTGTACACGGCACCACACAGAAGGAAACAAGCAAACGTGACACCGATATATAATTAATAATAAAAATACGTAACGATAATTATTCACGAAAATTTGAAAAATGCTTAAACATATTAAATACACACATACACACATAAAGAATGAGAGAAAGATAGACAGGGGAAAAGTATGGATATGATGATTCTCATACACACACACACACACACAAGTTTAAACATATTACACACGCTTTTTCCCAAAAGTTTTGAATCGGTCACTCCGTTTGTTAACTTGTTGTCCTTGAATCGATGACCGAGAAAAAAGACAAAGCAAAACGCCTCGAAAAATCAAATAGTGAGAGAACGTTTTCTAAAAAATTTCTTGAGAAATTTTTCTTATATAATTCATCGTTGGAATCGAAAAATGGTAGAAACGAAAAAAAAAAAAGAAAGAAAGAACAGATTGAAAGAAAATAGAAAAAAAAAAAAAANTATGTACAACATGCGAATATGTTCTACAAATACGTCGAGTATAATAGATATATAGATATATGTACATAATGTAACTCATAAGCGAAATAATCAGACACTCTTTGTAATAATCAATTTTTATAACTTAGTAATATTGATACAACGATTAGGCTGTTATATATGAAGTATGTATAAAAATACACACAAGAGGAAAAGAAAAATTATTTATATTTATATTGCAAGAGAGAATATGATAAGAAGATAAGATTTTCTTTGTAAAAAAATATAAAAGACGTATTTTGTCGAGAGATCATGGTAAAATGTGTGTGTGATGAGTTTATAATAAACGTTTAATAAAATTTCATAAAAAATATCTTCGAAAAACAAATAAAAAAAAAAAAAACCCCTTCTAATTTAAATCGACAGATTTTTTACGATATATATTTCATAAAATTCTATCTCCCTCCAGTCTAAAAGATTTTTTACTACATCACTTTGTCAAAGTCCGATAATATTTCAGATAATATTTAAGATAATATAAGCTATAAAATAGTTAAAAGCAGTCTGAATATTTCCATGACTCATTGTACCATCGCGTGACCTCGAACACGTAATATAGCGTCGCTTAGGCTGGCAAAATATAATATAATAGACGAGTTATACGAGGAGTGAGAGTATATATCGATATCGAGAAATATTGATAGCACATCTCGATATTACTTTTATTAGATGGTATCAGATAATCAGCGCGAAAATACGTGCAACTTGACGGCGACCATAAAAGGTCAACTATGTCGAATTGTTTTTTTGTCTTTCTCCCTACTCCCCCCCCACCCAAAAAAAATAAGAAAAATAGGAAAGATATTTCGACACGATACACAAAATTAAAATATTAAATAATTGTTTTTTTTTTTCGAACGAAGGAACAAAAAATAATAAATAATAAAATAATTTATATATATATAAAATATATTTATATTTATATTTATATATTTATATATATATTTGTACAAATGATAAACCCGTTGAAAAGCCAACGAAAAGGCTAAAGTTCGATAACTTTTATCCGGAAAAGTTAGCTGTACGAAGCATACGACGATTGAAATGCATATAAAAGTAGCAGCAAAAGCACCAGCTGCAATCGAGCAATAATATTTCTCAATCTAAACCGCGAATGCATATCCAAAGATTCGTCTTTTTATAAAAGAAAAAACGAATGAGATAAATGATAGAAATAAAAGAAAATAAAGAGACGATTGTCGAAGCAAGATAGAGAATAACGAATCGAATGTTTACCGGCGAATAAGGTGTTTTTCAGATATCTTATCGCTTATCATGTCTCCTCGTCTATACTCTTACCACCCCACCCTTCCCTCCCACCTTCCTACTCTTCACTTCTTCACCTCTTTATCCTACTTCGAGATAAAATGTTTTTTGGTCGATCATCTTTCGTCTATTTTCACGCAAGGTATTAAAACGATCAATTTTTTTTTCTTCTTGATTCTCATTCTCTCTCATTCTCTCTCTCTCTCTCTCT